GAATCTGCATGATTCGATAAAACAATGATCTAATCGAATTAAAGTAGAATTGTATTTTCTAAATAATTGTCTTGGCTTCTCGTTATGCACCAGCATTCTTTACGAACGCGTCGGTTCGTGCTTGTACTTTCTTTCAAACTGTAATATGGAAATTGTTTAGCCGTTGACTCAGTTCCCGAAATTAATAAATCATTTTCCTGTCACGTATAGACCTGATGTTCAGAGATACATGTGGTAGATTTGTTGATCTTATCATATATAGTAATTCTATCTTAATTGATCCTACCCTTTTAAAAATTAATTTTAGTTCAGAGATATAGATCATCTAACATCGTTTTTCGTGATACAAATTGAATTGAAATATTGAAATTGATTTTTGACGTTAAGTTGACTGCAAGTTTCTACGATTTCATATAACAAAAATGACCGTCCCTCCTCCAACCAAATATGCTGTGGAATTGCCTAACACAAGAAGACCAGGTCAAACGGGAATTTATCGTAATGCACTTCAGCCAGATTCCCTGATTGTTACTTTCAGGTTTGTAACGATTTTGTTAGGTTTCTCTGCAGAAATTTTCTTATTTAGGAACCCTTTTCCCTTGCAGACCTGATGTCACGACCTTATATGATAACTTTCAATACGGTAATTACTTTTATGTTTTTTCCATAAGACATGCAATGCGAACATTTAATTCACATCAATCACTGTTTCGGTTTAAGCATTAAAGATTTCTGCTGAAAGACCGCTTCTCGGCCACCGACCTTTAAATAGGTCGACAGGCAAACACGATCCTTATTCATGGCAAACATATAAGCAAATTGCCGAACGTGTCAACAATTTTGGGTCCGGCATAATGCATCTAAGTGACAATGTGTGTTCTCTATTCGCAATTACACGTTTCTTTGTAAAATAATGTAGGGATGATGTTGATAGATGCTCTTTTTCGTTTTGGCGCAGGTTTGCAAGAATCCAAGGTCGGAACAGTGGGCGGTCGGAATTTATTCATACAATAGACCCGGTATATATCCAAACATGTTTTGCTTGTTCTTTTGCGTAATTTGAACTAATTATTATATTGCTCTCAACCAGAGTGGTTCATTACTGATATGGTAAATTAAACACTCTTTAAATTTTCGGCTTTGCGTAAAATATTAATAAACATCTTTAGGCAAATATGTCATACAATTTGATCACCGTTGCACTTTACGACACTTTGGGTTCAGGTAAGCATCGATCTCCGCATATTATCTCAAGGTCATATTAGACAAAGGTTAATCAAGGAGTTTCCGTCTTGACACTAGATGTCGTGGAATACGTTATAAATCATGCGGAAATTAAAATAGTTGTCACTGGTGTTGGCCATATACCCCGCTTGATTCAATTAGCCCATAAAACTCCCGAGATGAAGGTCATTGTATCCATGGACAATTTCGATGATGATCCACTTGCGGCTGGAAGTGTTTTAAAAGCGTGGGCACAGGAAAAGGGAATTCGACTTTTGGACTTTGCCGAAGTTGAAAAGATAGGTCAATTACATCCTCGCAATCACAATATACCATCCTCAAACGATATCGCCTCGATTTGTTATACGTCTGGTACAACCGGCGTGCCTAAAGGCGCTATACTCTTGCACGCGAACTTTATTGGATCCTTGTCGGCTGCTCATGTTATCACAAATTTAAGACAGGACGACGTATGTTTCATAAACTATGTATTTTAATAACACCGATATGTAAATTTTCCTTTTACC